CTAACCAATCAATTATTTTTCTTTTTATCAAAAATCATAAAAAATATTACTTTTCATAAATTAGGTCTAGATTTTATTTTTATTAAAAAATAAATTAATTTAATTAGGTTTGTTAATTTAGACAACTTTAATTTCCTTTTTGTACATAATTAAAATTAATTAGAACAAATAGGTTTTATTTCTAACTTAATTTTATTTTCTTTTCCTAAAAAATAACCAAAACATAAAAAAATAGGTTATTTTATTTATTTTCATTAATTAATTTAATTAGCTAATTATTTGTATAGTTAATTTTAAAACCTAAATTTTTTTCTTTAAAAAATATTTAAAAACAACAAAAACATTTTTTCTTTTAATTAGGTTAGAAGGGTCAAAACGCTAATTTCTTCTCAATCTTAATTTTCCTCGCGCGCTTTATTTTTATTATTTATCATATTGATGTAACTGCCTACAGTTTGTAATAGTTAAATTAGGACGTTTATTTCCATTTATCGCTTTATTTTCAAAGGGTTTTTTTTTGTCTATGTAAATACCCGAAGCCTTGTAATAACTTAGTTTAATTTCCACACTTTAAATTTTGCAAATTATTAACGGTTAGATGTATGATATTAGGATGCATAACAAGAATGTATGATTAATTTTAAAACAGTTAGATCACCCTAAATGTGAAAAGATAATGAATCTGAAACTGAATCACTCGCACATGCACACTTCTAGGGTACACTCCCACTTGGTTGCCTTCGGTAAACGATCATTGAGTATAGGATGCTTTAGTGGTCGTCCTTTTGTCTAAACAAAGATCAAAGTCCCGATTCGGAAAAGTTGCCTCAGAATGGTTGCCTCAGAATTGTTGCCTCGAATAATTGATCTAAGACATTAGGGTTATTACTAAGACTTCCTAACATTGCTTTAGTGACCGTACGTCTTTTTTCGAATTGACTCTCAAAACTCCAACAATGATGCTACCTACTGACTAATAGTGGGATATCATTGTCTAAAGGAAACGAACATAGGACGATTCTTTTTTCGAGTAGGTAGATTAGCTCTTAAGTACTTGCTCAATCCAAACAAATATTTTTCACATTTACACTCCTTTACAAACAAAGTTTTCAAAAACACTTCATTACACTCTTGAAGATAGAAGCAAGAGTTAAATCGAAGTCAAAACAAAAGCTTTTCAAATCACACAAACACAAAGAAAACAATTTGAAAATGATGAGCAAGTACGTAAGAGCCCGTAGATAATTACAGATAGAAAGGATGCTAATACCTTCCCTTTCTATAATCTACCCCCCGTACTCAGAAACATCTCGAAAAATGAATTTTTCTGTGCTTTTTTCCTTTCCTTGTTGGATAAAATAAAAGTCAGTCGCGACTCTTGCTTACCGCGACATTTTGCAAACACAAACGCAAAACGTAAACCAGCAAATTCCTAACAAAAGAGGGAAACACGTCCCGGTTCTGGCCACCGTATCACACAGTCGAAACAGCTTCACCCCAAAACTGTTTAGGTAAATTCTTGCCTTTCAACATACTTCTCACCATATTCATGATGGTTCGATTCTTCCTTTCTGCAATTCCATTTTTTTGTGGAGTATAGGGTGGCACCACCTCATGCATAATCCCTTCCTTTTCACATAGTTTGTCGAAGTCTTTCGACACATATTCTCCACCACCATAAGTTCTCAAAACTTTGAGCTTTCGACCGATTTGTCTTTCGACCATAGACTTAAACTTGGAAAATACTTCGATCACTTCACTTTTCTTCTTGATCAGATAAGTCCACAGCTTTCGATTGAAATCATCTATGAATGTAACAAAGTATTTGTTACCTCCCATCGAATCCACCCGGATTGGTCCACATACATTAGAGTATATGACTTCAAGACTAGCCTTCGACCTGCTTCCTGCATCCTTGCTGAAGCTATTCTTGTGTTGCTTCGCTTGCACACATTCCTCACATACCTCGTTTAGAATGTCGATTTCTGGCAATCCTGAAACCATATTTCTTCTCTTCAAATCTCTGATGTCTCTGAAGTTGAGATGGCCTAGTCTATAATGCCATATCCATTCATCTCTGCTAGCTGCAGTCGAAAGGCACTTGTACTCCATCACACTTAGTTCAATCTTGAAGGTTCGATTTTGAGACATAGGAGCCTTCAAGATTAATCTCCCATTTGCATTAACGACTCTCATCATCATATCTTTGATTGACACTTTATAATTTTTTTTGACCAACTGCCCTATACTGAGAAAATTGCTCTTCATACCTGGTATGTACAACACATTAGAAATTACTGACCTCTTGCCATCTTTCCTCATAATCATAACATCACCAATACCTTCAGCTGCTAGGGTATTGTCATTTGCAAATTTTACCATATTTTTCATTGAGGGCTTTATATTGACAAACTAGTCTTTCCTTCCAGACATATGTGATGAACATCTCGAATCCAAGTACCATTGGTCCTTGAATCTATCTTCATCTTTTGGTGTGACCATCAGCATCATCTCTTCTTCTTCTTCATGTTTTGCAAGCTTTGCATCACTTTCTCGATTCTTTCGTTTTTCTGGACAATCACTCGAATAATGACCATACTTCTGACAATTGTAACATTAAATGTGACTCTTATCAGGTTTTCGACCACCACCTCTTCCTCTATTTGCAACACCACCTCTTTGGTTGCCTTGGTATGTCCTTCTTTGATTCGACATGTTTCCTTCAATATGGTTTCCTCTATCATTCGATTTGTTGTAGCCACCTCTACCTTTGTCGAAACATTTTCCTTTGCCTTTGGTCTCTTTTGCTGAATGTGCCTGCAAGGCCACATCACTCTTCCATTTACCTGCAACTCTTTCATTCATTCTTTGTTCATGAGATTCAAGCGTCCCTTGAAGCTCTTCCTTTGTGAATTTTGACAAGTCTTTCCCCTCTTCTATCGCCACCACTATGTGGTCGAGCTTAGGAGCTAAAGATCTCAAGATCTTCAAAACAACAACTCTTGTTGTTAACGTTTCTCCACATATCTTGATTTGATTTACTAGTTTTGTAACTCAAGTGAAGAAATCAGATATGCTTTCACTGTCTTCCATCTGAAGCAGTTCGTACGTCCTTTTGTGAGTTTGTAACCTCACTTCTTTCACCTTCTCAGCGCCTCCAAAAGACTTCTCAAGGATCTCCCAAGCTTCTTTTGCAGATTCTGAATCACTAACCTTTTCGAAATTGTCTGGGTTGACACATTGATGAATTATAAATAATGCTCTATAACTCAGCTTCTCAGATTCTGTGTATTTCTTCTTTTCTTCTTCTGAAGCGTTTTCTCCAAGCGCTTCGACTCCATCTTTTACAAGGTCCCAAAGACCTTGACATATGAATAAGACTTTCATCTGTTTGCACCAATTCTCATAGTTGTCAACTTTCAGAATTGGTAGCGTTGCTGGATAGTTTGCACTCCCATAACTTGTCATCGTGAATTCTTCAATCGTTCTTGATTGATACATCTCTTGAATCAAAACAAAAGCTCTTGATACCAGATGTTGGAAACTCACTAAAGCCTATGATGAATTTCTACCACAATGACAATTTAATTATGAGACAAACAAAGAAAGAAGACAAGACAAATAATTTCTACAAAGTTTCTCTCTGCTCACAAACTGTGAAAACTTTCTTATTCACTTTGCAACTGCAAAATACCGTGAATGACTTGCTTACAAAAATAGGGGTTACTCCCTCTATTTATAACTGAACTTACACCCTAAACCCAAAGCCCAAAATATCTTTTTGTTACTAAATCAAATCTAATTTATTCTAAACTTAAATCAAATCTATTTAAATCTAATTGGCACTGTTCCTCCTGTTATGTATCATATTGACTGCTGTTTATGTTGATAGAATTTTCATTATATATATATGAATATTATTTTGATGCAAAATGCTAAATGATAAATGCACGATTATGTAAGATATGAAATTTCTTATACAAAAATATAAAAGTGTTGTAATTCTACTGTCCAAATATGAATATTCTAAAATATATATTTCTTTTACAAAAGTGCTCTAAAAGAAAGTGAGCGGCCCATATGCCTCTAATATATGAATAACAATCATTAAATGAATGTAATTTTTTTATTAATTTATATTTACCATTGTCGTTGATTGCACGTAACAATAATAACTTTTGTTGCAAATATACTAAAGGGTGCTTATTAAATACCTCCTATAAGTTCAATATAAAAAAGACACTATTAATAAAAAAGAGAATTTTGAGGCCCCCTGTTTTAAAATTTAAAACTGACCTTAATAAAAAATATTTATAAAAATTATATTTTATTAAAGTTATAAGTAACATTAAAAATTAAAGACAAAATAAATTATTTATACATATTTTAATAATAAATTAGTTGTGAATCGTTAAATTATTTAATTATACTTCAAAATTTATTTTGAAAAAGTTTAAATGTTTAATATAGAGTGGTGAATTTATAAATTTTAATCTGTCATATAAAAAAGTTATATGTTATGGAAAAAAAATTTCTGTTCTTTTATTCAGCTGGAAAAATCTTAGATTTTTCATGATCAATTTTGTCTTCATATAATTGGTCTAAAATATTAAATGAGTACCATAACAAAATTATCTGATTGGCTGATTTTTAAAGATTGTGTACATGCTTTCATAAAGTCAATTGAGTCTTTTGAGAACAATCTCTTATGTTGCCCTACCTTGGTAATCACTTAAATGGTTTGTTCAAAATCCAAACTCTCTTTCGTTGTTTTTCATCTTCCACACCACTTGCCTTCTTCCTTCTCCAATAAATGGAGAAACGCCCAACCCGCGTTAGCATCGTTCTCCTCTCTATAAGTCAATTTCTTTGAATATTTCTCTGAACAATTGATGTCTTCAATGTAAATTGAATATGTCTCGAATACATCACAAACCTGTTAACATTCATTCTGTTATTCTGTTTTTGTAGGTTTTGTATGTTATTTGTTTGTTCCTTCCATGGCCAGACCCTTTGAATTTGTAAAGAACATTAGTGATAGAAAGGAACTCTGGAAAATTGCAGTAAAGGTTCACCATAAATGGAGTATCATATCTCACATCAAACAACACTTTTAGATGATTGTAGTAGATAAAAAGGTGATTTCACGATTCGCTCATAAACATATTGTTATATTTGTTGTTTATTTTCTTTGTTATTGGGCTCAATTGAGTACACCATGGTTTATATTGTATTTAAAATGTTCATAACAACCCAATGTTCATTGCAAATAACCGTTTTTATTGTATTATAGGGGACTAATATCTATGTCGTTGTTCCTCCACTTTATAGCCAGATATTTGATTCTCAGTTGGCTGCTAATGGCACCATTACTATATCAAACTTTCAGGTTATGCTAAACAAAGTTGTCTTTAAGCCATCCAAAAACAAGTATCTTTTGAAACTTACCGGAGGAACCAAGGTTGGTGATTTAAACAAACATTCAATCCATGAGAAGGCTATTGATACTATTGCATTCGAAGATATTATAACTGGAAAATAGAAGAATAATTTATTGATAGATAATTTATTATGTATTCCATATTAATTAATTTATTTGTTGAGTTGAATGATGAGCTTCTATTTTAACATAATATTATGCAGACATCGTTGACATGGTGGACGAAATTGGCTACACCTAAATGCAGCCTGGTGGCAAAAAAATACAAGTCAATTTTGTCATGAGAGACGAAAGGTATGTTTACTATGCTAAGAAGTAACTTTATCATTATATTTGTATACAAACTATGTGTTTATAATTGTTATTGATTACTCCACAATAGCAACACAATCAAACGCACTCTTTGGGAAGGCTATGTTGAGAAGTTTATCAAATACAATCAATCCAAACATGATCCAAACTCTCCAACTGTTGTTATGCTACAATATGCAAAAGTTAAAGAAGAAGGTGTCAACAACAGTATTTATTATTGTGTTTTATATAGCTGATCAATTATTTTCTGTAGCATGACTTATACTTGATATGCTGTTTTACGTAGGAAAATATCCCCTCATTGTTTCAAACACATACAATGTGACTAAGTTGTCCATCAACGAGGATCTCAAACCAGTTAATGACTTCTTGAAAAGGTTGTTTTATAATCTATTACAATTCTGATTAATACACACTCAACTCTGATCTCTGCTCATTATTTTATAGATTTCCAAAAGACACACTGAGCATTTGTTCCATTCAACTTAGCTCTCAATCTCAAGTGTGGTGCCATAACTTATCCAACTCTACCCTTACTCCCTATCAAAAGTTCATGTCTAAGGCTATTATGCTCCCTATTTCAGAAATTAAACAACTCAAGAAAGTATACATCTATTTTTTACAACACTACTGCTACTGCATGAATTATTCTATGTGTATAAAATATTTTAATGTCACACTATCATACAAATTTGTATCAACATTGGTTTTATTACTAATACTAATGCCTCATTCATTTAGGATATTTTTGTGTTACTGTTGCAATAATTGACAAGCTAATCACTTCTCAGTATGGTTGGTATTATCAAGCATGTCACCAATGTCCTAAAGCTGCAAGGGGTATCAAAACTCCCTTCAAATGTGAATCTGAACATTTAACTGAGGTTGAGATATTTAGGTAATATACATATTGTCTATTTTTATTTCAGAGTTATTGTGGTCTTACGTTCATGGTAAATGACTTTTGTCCTTATCCGTTATGGGAAAAAATCTCAGGTTCAAAATCCAGGTTGAGGTAGTTCATATGGGATGTTGCTGTAAATTTGTGTTGTGGGATAGAGAAAGTGAACAACTATTAGAGCTTTCTGCAAATCATATGCGCAGTACCATGATTGAGATATACTAATATAATTGTAAAATTATGCTGGAATTATTATATAAAATAAAATGTGTGCTTATAATGTATCCTATTTATATGTCTTCAGAGCGGGATTACTGATCCACTGGACTTTCCGTTAGCACTTGACAAATTATTGGGTAAAGAGAAGGCTTTTAAGGTCAACTGGCAGTCACAATGGGATAGTCGTTCAGTTGTATCCATACTTGTGGATGATGATGTATTGGCCCAACACACATTAACTTATGTTCATATTGATATAGGCCATTCAATAAACATTTCCACTAAACCCTACTACAAAGCATTGTTTCTTCCTGTGTTCACACTACAACATTACTATGCGGCCATTTGAAGGTGATTGCCTTTGGCATCTTTTAGGTGATTTGAAATCCTTGGCATCCTTTGTAATAAAAGCAGTTTCAACAGTAGTAACATTTTCTTTTCATAACAAATTTCTTTATATTACATAACGTGAATTATAATGGTTGGTTATGATTTTAATCATGATAATTTCATATTAAACTGTCTTATCTTGAAATTGATCCTTGCTTTATACACCTATTTGGGAACCAACTTCCAACACTATGTAAGCTATATGATGGGGTTTATGAGTATGAGGTTGAATGGAATAGAAGTTACACAATTTCCTTTTTCACTAATGGTTGGGCTGAAATAATCAGTGTTATAGATTTTCAATTCAACCTGAATAAAGTAGTTCTTGAGTACTTTGGTCATGGTATGTTTTTCTTTATTCTGTGCTTGGACCACAAATGTGTCATTGCTGAAATTCCTTAATGGAAAACTCTTTACATTCTTGATCCAATATTCCTATGTTTTGAAATTGTATTGTTTGGCTATAAGAATGTCCACAGTGTTCGTACTCTGGTATATTGTATTCAACTTCTGATATTGGATCCTTTATATCTTAATGTATATTGGTATTGTAATCATTGAAGATGATTTTTTACAGAAGTTGGATAGAGAAATATTGCATGCTGTTGTACCCCAAAATTTTCCCTCTCACTTATCAAGAATTTGCTCACAAGATCTCCTTTGCCTCAAGACTGCACTAGGGTTGATCAGCTCAAGACACCTCCTTAAGCACTGATGACCAAAATTAGGGTTTGAGATTGCACAAGGATATTTGAACTTCCAATTCCCCATATGACTTTAATGGATCTTTGTGTACCCTCAAGATTACTCATGTCAAGTTTCAAGCCTTGGATCACACTTTTGCTCAGTCAATTGAGCAGTTGACCTAAAAATCAGCTGTATTTGGGAAAAAGTCAAATGTGGTCGATTTACAGTCAAACTTCATAATTTTTTATCCACATAAATATTTTAAACTCACATGTATTATTTGATCAAGTTTGGACCACAATTCCTCAAGAAATTGGATCAAATCATCAAAAGGGCAAAATGGTCCAAATTAGGGTTTTGACTGGGAAAGGGAAATTTCTGATTTTTGACCTAGCAAATGATAAATTGGTTTAAGGAATGATATCAAGAGTCTAATTTCATCATTTTTATCTAATGACATGGCTCAAAATATTGTTCAAGCCCAATGGATTGACATATGAATTTTCAGTAAACTGATCAAAAGTCAATTGTATACTAAAAAGTCAAACTTAGACTTTTTGGTCAAAATCAAATGTAAAAGATCACAATTCATCAAATCATGTCAAAATATGAAACTTATTCATCAAGAAATAAAAAATTCAAGATTTCATTTTGAAAAGTTAAAATTTTTAAACTTAGAAATTTTTCAAAGTGTTGGAAATTTCTTATTTTTTCACAACATTGAGCAAAATTTTCATCATGATGCAAAATGATTCAAAATAAACTTCCAACACAAAAGTTGTATATCTCCATGAAATTTATAACATTGTTTTACACAACTCCTTCCAAAAGTGCTTAGATCTCAAGTTATAATTTTAAGAACACATGGTCATGAAACAAAACACTTAGTGAAATTTTGCCCTAATTTGGTTAGGATTTTGACCCAACTTCATGGAACTTTTTCATATAGTTCCAAGGGGAATTTTAAAAAGTGGTTCAAATATGGGTTGTAGAGCACATTACAAGCTTTCCAAAATGTCCAAGAACTCCTTTATATCATTTTTGAGTAGGGAGAATCGAAGAGATGAAGTTTAGGTTTTCACACTTGAATTACAAGTCATTTTGTGATGAACAAGATTCAAAATTCAAACTTATGTTGAATAACCTCTACTTTGCAGGCCTCAAACTTGTTAGGTACTCCATAATTAATTGCTTGCACAGCTGTTAGAGGTCTCATTTCAAGCATTCAATGCAAGGCCATGCTTTATATCCATTTTGGGAAAAAGTGGACAATGTCATTTTGATAAAGTAGCTTTTTACACAAAACTTGTTCTTGAGCCTTGGACTTGTTCTCTTCTGATCATACATGTCTTATAACTCAAGAGAAACTTTTTTAGACACTTACAATCACCCAGCCCATGCTTGTACTACACATTGAAACTTGTTTTCTCACTTTTCTTCAAAATCAAGTAACCTAGCAATTAGCTTGTAACTTGTACTTCTTACTATCCAAAGGACTCAATCCCTTTTTCTTATACATACACAAGTTATTTGCCACAAATCACACGCATGCTTAAGCCCTGAAAACACCAAGAATACAGAATCACCAAAAACACTTCAAAACGTGCCATTTCTGAGTTTTGAATCCAATCTCCAAATTTTCTCGTGTGTTTCTTGGCTTTTTACTTTCAAAAGCTTCTAAATAACATACAAAAACAATTCTAACACCTGCAACACCACTGTAACACCTCCATCCTCATCCACCATTTTCAAAAACAACACCTTGCACCTTGACTTCTCCAAAACTCCTCAGGCACTTTCAGCTAAAGCTAAGCATCCCATTAGCTTCCTGGGAACTTGAGGAAGCTAATCCAATCATTGAAACTCACTAAAAGCTACTCAAACTCCAAACTCGATACCCTCTTGCAAGGTAAGTTTTCTGACTTTTGAACTTTTCATACATGCATCATTAATGGTTTATTTGTGAATGAAAAATGTAGATATCATTGCCCTAAAGCTAACCATGTCCATAGTTTTCATTTATTTTGCTTGAGCTTAAAGAATTTTAGGATTGAAGTTTCTGAAATTTTTAGGGTTCAGATTAGGGATAGTAAAATTCATGCTTATCTTTGATCTATAATTTTATTACTTTGCATTTCTGAAATCGTGAGAAAATTTGCTACAAGTTTCCTGTTTACATTTTTCATTTTTGTTGAGAATTGAATAAGATAAAGAGGTTCTGGCTGGGCGTGAGGTTGAAGATGAAGTTGGCCTCAGGAACGTGTTTACCATATATATTTATGGTTTGATTTATATAAACGGATGTATAGCCACCCCAATGGTAGAAGCGCGCGCCCGTGACTATAGGGACCTGGGTTCAAGCCCCAGTGGTACCCTTTTAGTTTTTTTCATATTTTTCATATTCTGACTTATCTTTTTTGGCAGCGCTGGGCCTCCATCTTTGGGCCTTATGTTTTTTTGTTCCTTCTAACCCCCTTGCTGGCTGTTCACACCTTGGCCCATTTTTTTTCCTTCTCATTTTTATTTGTTTTCTTAAATATTTTTCTAATACTAAAAAATCAGAAAAAATATAAAAATATTAGATTTATATTTTAATATAGTATATTTATTTTTTTATACAAAAAAATATTTTATTTAATCATACTTTATTTATTTTACTAATTTGATTAGTAAATTTAATTAAAAAACTAGGGTTTTAGTTATTTTCTTTTACACAATTAAAATATATTATTTTAAAACAAAAAAGACCTAAAATATTTTATAATACTGTAAATCATTTTTAAGACAAAAATACCAAAAATATTCTTCTTATAAACTTAGTTTCTTTTTTTAATCAATTAATAGATTAGGGTTTTATTTAAATTATTTTCCTAGTAAATTTAGGTTTTACTTTTTACTAATTTACTTAATTATTTTTCTTTTAATTAATTAGGTTAAAACAAAATCCATTTTCCCTAAAAATCCAAATAAACATCCATTTTCTTTACATTTACATTCTTGTATATTTATTCATTTTGTACATTATGTATTCAATTCTTGTACAAATTCAATATGGTTGTAATAGATAATTAGATTTATTTTCTTGCAATCCCAATTTATAATTTGTACACCCCCCTCCCACAAGTATTGTAATAGCGTAGTAATTTTAAATTCCATAATTTTCTTTACATTTACATTCTTGTATATTTATTCATTTTGTACATTATGTATTCAATTCTTGTACAAATTCAATATGGTTGTAATAGATAATTAGATTTATTTTCTTGCAATCCCAATTTATAATTTGTACACCCCCCTCCCACAAGTATTGTAATAGCGTAGTATTTTTAATTCCATAATTTATCGCTTTATATATAAATGCTAGTAATTAGGGTTTGTATGGAAAGACTAAAACCAATCAATTAGAAAACCCTAATAAAAGACAAACCCAAGCATGAAAAACAATACACTTGCACACAAGCACCCTTAGGGTAAGATCCACTTGGTTGCCTTACAAAATGTCCATATTACGCATGTGAGGTATCTTAGCAAAAATAAGCAAAATATAAGATCATAGTCCTTGGATGACGCTATCTATGTTGTCTTCCAAATGATCTTGGTCCCTAAAAGAGAATGCTAAGATACCTTGCAACATTGCTAATCATGGTTTTACAATGACCCACGCCCGTCCCGTTTACATCTAAAGATAGGGTTACTTACCAAATCAATGGTAAGATAACAATGTCCAAGGAAAGAGGAAATGAACATGAAAGACTTTTGAGTAGGTAGAATGCTCCTAATTACTTGCTCCATTTCAAAACAAAAACATCCTTGCTATTTTCAAAAACAAACACCTACACTTTCAAAACATCTTACAAATTTGAAAACATTTTTCAAAAGATCAAACACTTTGTATACATTCTTACGAACGAGAATCATTACAAAGTTTG